TGACCCCCTTCCCTCGCCCCGCCCCCGCCCGATCCGGATCCTGACCCCTCTAGACCCCGATCCTGACCCCCTTTCCTCTGCCCGACCCCGCCCGATCCGGATCCTGACCCCTCTCGAACCCGATCGTGACCCCCTTCCCACTGCCCCGACCCCTCTCTAGCCCGGTCCCGACCCCCGCCCGCTGCCCACCACTCCCAGCTGTGCCCTGCGAGCCGCCGGCTCTCTGTGCCAGTGTCCAGCACCAGCTCTCTCACATCTGCCTGCCAAGGGCTTCCCCAGCCCCGTCCCCTGCCCTGCCTCGGTGCCTTCAGTAACTTGGCTAAAAGTTGCTAAAAATACACAGAGTCCCTCATGCTCCCCCGAACCCCTTCTGTGATCGGCTCATGGCAGCGGTGTTTGCTTGGCTTCAGTATGAGAATTGTCACTGTGTGAATGGTGAAATTCCCAAGGCTGTGTGGGACAACAGAGGATTTTGGAGATAAAGCTACCCCAGCCCCTGTCCCTGCCCATTTGCACTGGTGTCAGTGTGTTCAATAACTTGGCTGAGCAGCCCTTGCTAAAGATACAAATACCAACCATACAAGAAATTATTGTCCCTGGGTGTTTCCTCTCATTTCCAGGCCAGTTCCCATAGGTGCAGAGGCTCTTGGCAGCTGCTGCCCAGCTGTGCTGGTTCTAGCTTTAGGCCATCAGGTACCAGGATGTTGTTATGGTACCCAGCAGGGCTGGATTGGCTTCTTTTGGGATGTTTCTTCTGATCTGTGCTGATTTATTCTATTTAGCCTCATGAAATGGCCAGATTCCAGACACCCTCGTGCTCCACTGTAGCCCTTCTGTGATCAGCTCCTGGCTGCTGGGGCTCCTTGTGAGCCATCCTGCTTGCTTGGCTTCGGGTATAAGACTTGCCACTGACTCAACAGCAAAACCCCCAAGGCTGTGTGGAACAACTGAGCATTTTGGAGATAAGATAAGATCTTTGCTGGAAAAAGGAGAGGAGGCACCTCTGGGCTGTTTCAGTGGACAGGGGAGTTGCCACAAGAGCCATTTTCACCTGGAAAAACAGGGAGGAGGAATAAAAAGGGGAATCCAGGTTCTATGGGAGGTGGTAGGCTCACATCAGTCGTGGGTGTGGAGTATGCTGGCTATGGGAACTCAGATTATGATCTCTGACAGACTGTCATGACATTTTTTCCATGCCTCTTACGGGAAGTTCCCTATGCAGCTTTGCTGTATGTTTTCCTTTCCTCATTCTGTGAATTTCTGTGCTGAGCCAGGTTCGACACATTTTGTTCCCTGTTCCCAGACCATCTCCTAGGAGAGATTGTGCAAGGCAGAGGCACATGCATGGTGGATGTGGGCCACTGCTGAATTCTCACTTGGGCCTTTGGAGATTTTATTTTTGCAGAAGCTCCAGCCTTTGCCTGTGCAGAAATGAACAGGGGAAAATCCCAGCCTTGTCAGGGCTGTCTGCTGCCAACACATTGCTGAACATAAATTGTGACACTCGACACTTCCTCTGTTCATTCTTGGTAGAAATTGGTTTCCTTTCCTAAAATCTACTCTGTTTGGCTCTCAGAGACAAGCAAGCCATCACCTAGATACTAATTCTCACTTACCTCCTTCTTTTATGGCCCCTCATAGGGCGAACTTTCCTTTGCCAGCAAAACTTTTGGCAGTTTAGACAAAACCAACTAAAACTCCAACCTAGTGTAAGGTAGAAGAACTGTTGGTATCATTGCTGGGTCTCTTTCCACAGCCAAATATCAAATTTATCCAGAACCCCATGGTATCACAAGATGCAAGCCTGTGTTTTGGGAGCTGTTGACTTGAATTGCTTTGGAATTTGAGGCTCCTCTCTGCTTGGTTGCTGTCCTGTGACTGAAGGCATCGAAAGGTGTGACTTGAGGCTCCTTCCCCATATGGACACGGGGAAGTGCTGTGGCACAAAGACATTTGTGCTGTGACTAAACTGCAGCCCGGTTTGTGAACTTGTTTCCTGTCTGACTTTGTGACGGCATCTTTCATGGTCATGTTTATTTGTTCCTGCTCCTGATTTGGCTGTCTCTCCTCTCCAGGCTGCTCCAGCATAGGGGACTCCTGGAAAAGAGGGTGTTTTCCCTCTGAGGTGCCTTGCCCCACATCCCTGTGGAATAAGGTTTTAAGTGGACCTGGAAAGCAAACTGTATTTGGGAATTAAATGGCTTTCTTCATTTCTCTTTAGTTTAAACAAAAAGTTGGAAACAGCTGTGAAGGGAAGATGTGTTAAAGAGGAAAAGGAAGTTGAAACACAGACACCATGATTTCTAGGGTGCCACAGTGGGTGCTGCTCACCTGACTTCTGGTTAGAACATCTTTTTTCACCAATAACTGTTCTGTGTGTGCCATCTGAGTGTTGTGAAGAGCAGCAGGTGGGAGGAGAAGTGGCGATATGCCCAGGACACAGCCCATGACTTGAGGGTGTACCCAGATCACATGAAACTATTGTGGTCACTTCTTTATCAGGAGTGTAGAAAAAGAATGCCCTATTTAGCCACTGATTCTTTACATAAAAAATAGCTGTCTAGGAGGCTATTGTTTTCCTTCTCAGGAATTGTTGCCTAAAACAGGAAGATGTTTATTTAGGTGATCTGTATTTTACCAGCTGGTGTACAAAGGGTGGTGCTGTCTGAATGACTTTTGCTGGAGTTCATTTCCCTCTTGACAGGAAGGTAGGAATTGTGCTGATGGTCATCTTTGCTAAAGGGACAGCGAGGCTAAGAGCACACATTTCCAGAAAAATTCAACATTAGGTGGCTCAAACCATGGGATGAGAGTTTTCAGTCACTCCTCTTCCTCCACCCACGTGCTGTGCAGGTGTGTTTTTCCAAAGAGTTCAGCATATTGAATGGACTTTGGAAGCTGGGATTTCTTAAAACTCTACGTTAAGGCTTCTTTTTGCTTGAAAATCCTGCTCTAAGCTCTTTTTGAAAATTTGCCTGTAGGAACTGTGTTGAGCTTGGCTGGAGAATCTCTTTTCTTGATTAGTGCAACAGAATTTATGATCAAGTTGTCTAAAGGGCCTTGTTTGTGGCCTTCTTCAGATTATCTAGACATTTCTTGACGTGCCATGTAAAAGTGTGATTCCTCTCAGCCTCCAAATGTATTGTATTTGGACACTCCATTCCACTTCCAGCACGTTTGTGTTGTGTTGGTAACTGACAGCTGTTTATTTTGATTTTCACATGAGGTTTAGGTAATCCTTCACCGTTGAGCACTAGGTTAGGAACAGGGGTGGCCACCCTGTATTATTTCTCTGCCAACTGTAATTCTTACATGGACAATGCAATTCACACACCTTGAATGTGAGAATTCATTGCCCAGAACAAATGTATTTCTCAACATGCATTTTATTTTGCTTCTGCCTCTCTCTCTTATGGTGAAGTTTCAGGAAAGGACATTTCAGTGGTGCATTTTTGCTCTCTGGGCCCATTTGTCCTGTTGCTCTCTCTGAGTGTCAAATAGCCACGGATTTTCTGCGTTATTCCAAAGAGGAGAATGTCAGCATTTTGAAAGGGAACACTTGAAGGGCAAAATGAAGGCAGCTGTTTTATGGCCATGAGTTTACAGAACCATATTATGATTTTTATTACTGCATTTCCTTTCATTCTCTTGAGATACAGTCACAGAATGTTTCCATGTGTGTAAGGAAGGGAGGTGGATCTACACAATGCACTTTAAAAATGTCATCAGTAAAGTTACAGGAATTTGTTCTCAAGGTTGAAAAGTACATTAGGGTTTAGTTTAATTTTTTCTTCTATTTCCAAAAGCCTAAGATCAGTTTGCCTGAAGGATTATGCATGCAGGTGTGACATGGATGGACAATGTGTGTGGTCCCCAGGCCAAGCAGGCTGACTCCTCTCCATCTTATCACAACAGAACTTCCCTGGGAGGGAAAACACTGTCCTGTGCCATGCAAGGGGATTTTTTGGTGGAAGGGGAATGTGTTGAGGGATATGATAACCAGGAGCTCGGCATATTGTGCTTGTTTGGAGAGGAAGTTAACGGGTGAGTGAGCAACATTTGTAGCCACAATACAGAAAGTTGGTTTTGAAAGCATCTTTGTGGTGGCTGCTTTACCTGGAAGGATGTGTAGAGAGGTCATGGCCACATGCACACAAATACAGGTGGCATTTAGAGGGTTTGGGGGCATGGAGTGCTTCTGGCCACCTTGTGCTGCTGAGGCTGTCTCCTGTCTGGCAGATGTCATGGTATGGACCATGGACCACTCTTTGCACATTTGACCCAATCTCTGTTCCCCACCAGCTACAGCTCCCCACCTCTGCTGAGTGTCCAGAGCTGGACATTTATGGGAGCTGGTCTCCCTGGCTGCAACAGCAGTGATTTTTATCAGTTCCTCTGTGTGATGAAGAAAGGGTAGTAAGGAAGGGTGGTAACCCAGCCTGCAGCACAAATCCCTCCCTCATGGCCTTGGATGCTGAAGCGAACTAAAGGGTTAGTGACACATGGCTGTCCTGAGCAGAGCAGGTCAGCAAAATCACCCACAGCCTCTTCCAGGTTGG